TATGATGAGCAAATAATCTGAGAAGCTAGAGTATATGAAGAACACAGCATCACGATTGGAGACTCATTAACAACCTGATAACGCAGATGACCCAACTTTGCTTTCTGCAAGTGAAGATGACTTGAAGCACTTACTGATGGAAGATTAAAGACTATAGTCTGTAGTATGGATTACACCTCAACATAAAGAAAACAAAAATCCTCACAACTAGACCAGTAAGCAGGATCACAATAAATGTAGAAAAGCCTGAAGTTGTCAAAAGATTTCATATTACTTGGTTTCACAATCAACACCAATGGAAGCAGCAGTCGAGAAATCAGATGATGATGTACTGCACTGGGGATATCTGCTGCAAAAGACCTCTTTCAGGTGCTGAAGAGCAAAGATGTCTCTTTAAAGGCTAAGATGTGCCTAACACAAGCCATAGTGTTTTCAATTGCCTCACATGCATGTGAAAACTGGACAATAAGATGATCAAAGAAGAGTTGATGCTCTTGAGTTATAGAGTTGGCAAAGAATACTCAAAGTACCGTGGACTGACAGAAGAACTAAGTCTGTCCTAGAAGTGCAGTCAAAATGCTTCTTGGAAGTGAGAATGGCCAGACTTCATCTCACCTACTTTGGTCATGTTGTCAGAAGGGCCCATTCCCTGGACAAGGATGTCATGCTTGGTAAAGTGGAGGGTCAGAAAAAAAGGGGAAGGCCTTCAATGCAATGATGGGCTCAGGATTGTGAGACTGGCCAAGGATCAAGCAGTGTTTTGTTCTGTTGTATGCAGGGTCCCTATGAGTTGAAGGCAACTCGACAGCACCTAACATCATCATCATCATAATGTAATCCCAGAGCTCAACGTACAGTGCCTTCAGAATATAGGGCACTAAGGTTTATTTCTGATGGAGGCAAGTTATGTATTTTTGTTTGTTTTTTAAAAAAAATAGAACAATTTTGGGGGAAAGGGGATGACAAAGTAAAACTGAAATTTTAAGACTGTAGAATATGCAACAATTCCTTACAGGGCTCTACCAGATTTCCTAAAGATCTGGATATCAGGGTACCAGTGGCTTCAGCCAGGATGATGTACCTTCTTTTTTCTCCTCTCCAATATGTTGAAAATGTTGTTGTTATGTGCCATCGAGTCGGCCCCGACTCACAGCGACCCCTCCTTGGGTTTTTGAGGCAGTATCACTACGGAAGTAGATTGCCCCATCTTCCTTCCGAGGAGTGGCTGGTGGGTTTGAACTGCCAGCCTTCTGGTTAGCAGTCAAGTGCCTTAGCCATTATGCTACCAGAGCTCCCATGCTGAAAACAGCAACCCATTATTATTGTTGTTGACTCATGGTAATCTCAAGTGTGCAGAGTAGAAATGTAATCCATAGTATTTTCAAGACTGTGACCTTTCAGAAGCAGATCTCCAGGTGTTACTTCCCAGGTGCCTCTGGATGAGCTTGAACTACCAACCTTCTGGTTAGAAGTACAGTGCTTAACAACGTGTTACGCTCAGGGACTCCAAATGGCAACACAAGCCCTACGAAACCAAAACGAACCAAGCCCACTGCCACGGAGTTAGATCCGACTCATAGCAACCCCTCCTGGGATTTCCGAAGCAGTATCACTATAGTAGATTGCCCAACCTTCCAAGGATGGCTGGTGGGTTTGAACCACCAGCTTTCTGGTTAGCAGTCACTTGCCTTAGGCACTACACCACCAGCCCTACAAAAGGAACTTTAAGTTGTAATCAGAAGAAAAACTGGAAACATGCTCAATAAATTTGGTGCATCTATACTACAGGATAGGAGCTCTGGTAGCATAGTGCCTAAGGCACTTGACTGCTCACCAGAAGGCTGGTGGTTCAAACCCACCAGCCACTCCTCGGAAGGAAGGTTGGGCAATCCTACTTCCGTAGTGATACTGCCTCGGAAACCCAAGGAGGGGTCGCTATGAGTTGGGGCCGACTGGACGGCAAACAACAACAACTTACTACAGGATACTAGTTAGGTAAGAGCTATATACACAGACACGGAGGTGGTTTGATATTAAACACACACACACACACAAATATGCATCTATGTGTATATAGATAGATCCCGTATTTGTTTTAAGAAAAATAATGTTTACACATATATATTTACTCATGTAAATAAAAAGATCTAGAAGCAGACAAACTGTTAACATTGGTTATCTCTGGGCAATGGGAGAAAATAGTGGATTAGCAATTTTTTTAACTTAAATGCTTTTTAAAATAATCAGTTAAAAAAAATTCACATATAAGTATAAAGTGAATAACTGTAATTCTCTAAATTGACATCCAAAATTCCTAAAGCACTGGCCTAAAACCAGACACCAACAAAAATTCTTATTCTTAATAGTCACATGACCTTAGTCAACTGCCTTAACTTAGGTAAACCTGCAGCCAATACTAAAAATGGAGATAACAGGCTATCTTCATAGAACTATTCTGAGAACCAAAAAAACAAAAAGTGTATATATTTACGTAATGCAACACATACAGGAACACTCATAAATGGTAGCTTTGTTATTTCATGAAAAAGTAGTAAAAGCTCACGATACATGTGAACAGTGTATGGAAAACCTGGCAAATATACCTATTCCTACACTAAAACTACTGGGAAAAATGAGGATAGCAAAGGTCCTAACTCAGCTCATAATGTTTTTATTATGTTATATAACTTTGGAAATTTTCAGTATAAAAGTTACCAATCATTACATAGCTTTTCTCTGTATATGTACTGAGAATTTAAAAACATACCACTTAACTGCTGCAATTTTAACATCTGGCACACGAAACTGAAGTAGCCACCCCATCAACTAAGAAGTATGTTTGATTAGCAAGAATACAAGTATAAAAAGAACGACTACATTATTCACAAGAGCAAGAAATGGAAAAAAGTTCGTATTTATCAACAAAGAGTACTTTTAAGTTTTGGTACAGCTCAACTATGGAATATTACAGACATTAAAAAGACTGAGGTAGGTCTATTTATATTGATATGCAAAGACATTCATCATACAAACTGCAAACTATATAACCCTATTTTAAAATACACCATTACCAAGGAAAGTCAGTAAGATTCTGTCTTCCTAATAACTGTCATTTCCTGTGATTTAAAGTACAGCCCAAAGATTATGCATTATAATTTTTAAAATAATTTATTAAGTAGAAATTGTTTCTTAGGCTTAATCTTTCAAGGGAGTTTTCATTGAAAACAATTTTTGCAATATATTTTCACTTTTAACAGAAAACATGAAGAGAGGCCTATCAAAATAATCTGTTCTAACATACTAAGATCACTGTCCTACAATAAGAGGGTGTCTTATTGTCACCCTCTTTCAGAAGGCCAACTAGACCTAGAGGAGGGAATTCTTCCCAAAGATGAAAATCTTACACTAACTCGTTAATTAAAACGGAAAAGACTTACCTGTAAATGTTCCCTTTTTGGATAAAATCCAGTCTAGATGCAGTTCTACTCAAATCAGTCCAACATCCAAACACCCAATTTCAATTAGCAAAGACAGAGCTATGAAAAAATTTAACCTGAAGTGCAAATTCTCAAATTTGAGAAAAGTGAGCACATTTAAGAGGTAAATAGCCTACTTATCAAATAAATGAGTCATTTCTGGTCTTGAAGAAAATCATCATAATGCCAATTATCAAGGAGTCTCAATCTATTAACCTTGCTTAAAGACATAAATTCATTCTGCGTACGTTCCAAATTATAGAGGGAAATCAATATATACATTCTGACTTGATACCGGTTTTAGCAAGCTTTCTAAAAATTTGGAATTATCATTAAGACTTTCAAACCTTGTTTTAATTCTAATCATTGAGTTTACCTTAAAAAATATTCTAATTCAAATGATCTTCACAATAAAGGACACAAAAATGACGCTCAACTTTCCTTTACCAATCTTTCAAGTTAGAATCATGCAGTTTATGGTGCAAAATTTGTATTTAACACTGACTAGGTTGTGTACTACCTATTTCCATGAAATTCTCTAAATTAAATTTGAAGTAGCATGGTTCAGTTCCCAAAGGTGATAGTAACCAAAACAGAATTCCACATCCCAGAGTATTTGCATAAGTATCAAAAAGAACCCAAGGAAGGCTAAATACCTGTTTTTCCTTCACTAAATACCGGCCTACATCATAAAAATTTAGGAGGGTTAAGAACATGATAATGAAGTATGATAAACAGAACATTAGTTTGCTAATAGTTGGTAGTGAATAGAAAATCCTTTTTATATAATTCACTTGCTAAGTAACTCTTAGAAGTCTGTATGTTGAGCATAGGAACCCCTCGGTAGTCAGTTAAGCGCTGGATTACAAACCCAAAGGTTGATGGTTCAAACCCAAGACACCTTGGAAGGTCTATCTGCTTCCAAAAGTTCCCAGCCTTAAAAATGTTATGACGGAGTGCAGTTCTACTCTGCAATGCATGGGATCAGCATGAGTCGGAAATAATTCTACAGCAACTGGTTTGGTTTTGACGTTAGGGATACAAAATGACATTATTAGACTTTGAAACGCCCCCCTCCCAAACTATCCAATTGATCCAACAGAAAGCAGTAAAAGGCAAACACAGTAATCCTCAATAAATATAATGAAACATTTAAGCAAATGCTTTGTCCTAGAGGTCTCCAAAAGGCTGGACCAAACTATCAAATGTGAAGAATCCCTGTGTGGTATATGCTTCAGTAAGTGAAAAATAAAATCTTTGGAACCACTTGAAAGCAAAAAATTTGACTGTATGTTTATTACTCTATTCAATTTATCCCATTTGTCAGAGGTACATTTAAGTATTTGTATCAATCCATCAACTATCCTTTGTCAAAGTGAATACTGAGCAGCCATAATCTAACCTAGCTATCTTGACCTTTCTTAATACCTTTTGAAAGCAGAGCCCTGACAATTAGGGGAAAAAAAATTGGTAAGAATTAGACTTTTAAGAATTATATTGTGATAAGGACTAAAGAAAAGAAAGTATTAAAATACTTTTACTTTTAAGCCCAATAATTCTTTTTCAGGCCTCTTAATATAGCCTTGGGCTTCCAACTCCAAGATCTATTGTAACATTAAATCAAATTAAATATACTAGATTAGTAAGCACTCTGAACCCACCCACCAGATTATACATAGTCTCACTCAATCATGTAAAGAATTGAATTCTTTATTTGCAATATCCATAAATGTTGCTATTCTCTATTTCTATCCAGGAAGGCAATTTTCTCCTATATCATTTTCTTTCTTTTCTTATAAACAACTTGAATTCTATTGCATGAAAGGGCTACAAATATACATTTGTTAACCAAGCAGAATACAGATATTTTGCTTTACAACTTGCACCTAAGATACCAGTACACGTAGCTGGTTCATTTGTTGTCATAGCAATTTGGGGCTATTGCCCAAGCTATGCATAGCAGTTTACATTTTCAAAACTCATGTAGAAAGGGCAACTGTGATACAGACTGGTAACTACATTCTTTGTGAAGCCCATCTCAATTACAAGTAAATGTGTAGCTTCCAAGTCTGCACAGACTTCTGATGGTAGAACATCCAAATCTGATGCAATTATCCTAAGAAGTTTTTAAACAAATTGCTTTGCAGATATACTGCCATTCTGCCAGTAGATGGTGCCACAAAGGTGGGGGGAAGGATTTCCATGAAGAGGACAATTCAGGTATGGGTAGGGGTGGGGAACGTTTAAACCTGCTCTGAAAAATACAAAAATCCTTTTAGTTTGAGGGTAAAATATAACCCTTATTTGTAACCATTCATTACAGACAAACTATAAGAGGACTGAAACTAGGCCATCTGAAAAATTTTAAACATTTTATATGAATGAAAACACATGCTTAACATAAACTATTTTAGTACTACACAGTACATACTTTGAAGTAAATTCTCACAGAAGTAAGTGACCAACCATGTCAAGGCGACAAGCAAATCGCTTAGTACAAGAGATGGATGCACAGTAGTAACTTAGAAAGATTTTAAAAAGCCACATCCACCACTTCAAAAGTTTTGCCTGTAAGGGATAAAATTCAGTCACTAGCAGGGGAACAGGAAAGAGAAAAGGAAAAAAAACACAAACCCACAGGACTTTAAAGTTTCTCCAAGTACACATCAAGAGTTAAGAATTAACAAGAAAAATCTCCAACTAATATTCCTTAAAATGGTACGGAATGGATCCTAGAAAAAAAAGTTAGACTTGTACGGTCAAACACAATGATTTATTAAAAATAAAACGTAAAAATGATTTTTGTACATATGCTTCCAAATTTCAGGCATGGGATCCAAGTAGATTTCATAGAAAACGCTGTAGCCAGGTATCAAGTCCTTACAACAAACAAAGTAAACTACCCCCCACCCCAACCCCCGCCCAGGTTTTGCTACAGAATCAGCAAGTTCACTCCCTCCCCCCGAAAAAACACAAATTAAAACAAGACATTTTGCTAGTATAAAAACGACCAAGGTCCAAGTAATAATAAAAAAATAGAGTCCATCAATGACTGTAACACAAAAATGTGTATGGGGCCGAGTCCATCTTCAGATAGAGACAAGAGAGGTGGCAGGCAAATAGGGCCAACACCCCAAGGGGATGCAGCCTCAGCGGCTCCCCCAAGGGTAAAATGGGGAAGACGGTGGGAGAGGGAAAAGGACTTAGGAATTGACCCCAGTTAGGCTGTTGAAAGAGCTACCCCTATATCCACTCCCAGGCATTTTTAATTTTTCTTTAGAAAGAACTGCCTCCATAGCCTCCACCACCGCCATAGCCTCCTCTGTAAGGTCCACTGTTACTGCGACCGCCCCAGCTGCTGCCTCCTCCCCCGCCGCCGCCGCCGCTCTTCATGGGCCCATAGGAAGACTGGTGCTGGCTGTAGCTGCCGAAGCCTCCGAAACCGTTACCGTAGTCGCTTCCACCGTAGGACGAACCGCCTCCGCCACCTCCGTAGGCATTGTAGCCGCCGCCGCCGCCGCCGCCGTAACCACCGTAGCTATTGTAACCACCGCCGCCGCCCTTGGACAGGCCGTTTTGGTCTCGACCGCCGCCGCGACCTCGGCCGCCGCGGCCGCCCCGGGAGGACCGGGAGCCGCCTCCACCCCCACCAGAATGGATATCTTCCTTAGGGACGGCCTTCTTCACCTCTACGCGATGGCCCTGGATCGGATGGAACTTGACCACCGCGGCCTTGTCTGCCGCGTCGTGATTCTGAAAATACACGAAGCCGAAACCACGCTTCTTGCCCGACAGCTTGTCGGCAATAATTTCAGCTTTTTCCACGGTGCCAAACTGCGAGAAGTGCTCGATGAGATCGCCCTCGGCCACGTCTCCCTTAAGGCCCCCGACAAAGAGCTTCTTAACCTTGGCGTGGGCGCCAGGCCGCGCCGAATCCTCCCGGGACACCGCCCGCTTCAGCTCCACCGTGTTGCCGTCCACGGCGTGGGGCGAGGCGGCCATGGCGGCATCGGCCTCCTCCACATTGGAGTAGGTTACGAAGCCGAAGCAACGGGAGCGCTTCGTCTGGGGGTTCACCACCACCACGCAGTCCGTTAGAGTCCCGAAGGCCTCAAAGTGGCCGCGTAGGCCCGACTCACTCGTCTGCACGTTGAGGCCACCGATGAACAGCTTACACAACTGAGAATTCTCCATCTCCACGGCACGGGTCTTCCCCCCGCCCTGTGAGCTCCGAGGTTTCGCCGTCTCCGTTATCGTTGGCTAAGGCCTCTTCACAGCTTGGGCCCAGCCGCTGCTGGAGCCGCCACCGCCGGTCACCGACGGGGAAGGGAAGAAGGGAAGGGGAGGGAAGGAAGGAGAAAAGGAAGGGGGAGGGAAGGGGAGCGGTGCCGGTTAGAGGGCGAGCTGAGGAGACTGGAAAACAACCAAGATAGCCGCTACCACCGCCGCCACCTCCGCTCCCCTATCTGGGCACCACACAAAGAGGCCGCTGAACGCGCGCGCACCCTCCCGGAGGCGTGCGTCACCGCCGACGTACGGCAGCCTAGGGCTGCCCGCCAATCCCCGCCTTGCTCTTGTTAGTCCCGCCTCCCGCGCCGCAGCGCCGCTCTCGACCACGGACTCTCCGCCCTCCGCGGTCTATTCAAGCGCTCGGCCTAGCTCCTTCTTCCACCGCCTCTACAGTCTCACTGCCACTGCCTGGCGTCCTAATGTATCCTGAAGAGGAACTCTCCCTGTCCTCCGCGAGTCCCTGCGATTCATCTACTCTCAGCCCTGTGGCTGTTCCCAGTGAATCTCCCCCTCCCCTTTTCTGATCCCCTCGCCCAACTCCGCAGTGTCGTTCGCGCCAGCCCCTTGAGAGACATGACAGTTTAGCCAATCACAGTGATCTTGCACCCACTTCCGTTTTCGGGAGCCGTAGAACGGGCGCGCTCCCTGGTGCGCGCTGGCCTCAGCTACCCCTGTGTGCGGGCTCTGCCTTCCAACTCTACGCTTCCTTCAGCCCCGGGCTTGGCGGGGGAGGGAGCGGAGGCGCGCTGGGGGCAGTTCCCAACGGATGCGGCCTGGGGCGCCACGCGCGGGCTTTTTGAAAACATGACTGTTGGGGTTGGGGGCGTGGGTTTACTCGCCGCCTCTGGATCAGGTCGCTGCACCTGGATTCCCTGCCCGTCCTTTCGTCTGCACAAAGATGGAGGGTAAAGGCCTAGACCAGGAAGGCGGTTGTTAACCGTTTATGGTGGGCCCGATGCGCAGTTAAGCTAAAACACTGACACGTGGCCATGCGCAAAAGCAAGCACAAGACTATGTAAAAGAGCTCTAAAAGCCTTACAGACTTTCCGACTTAACTGAGAAGGCTGCCCTGCTTCCCATCCTCAACTGCAGATATTTTCATGTTACCTCAGTGCACGTGTCATTTAATACATTTACGTTATCTATGCATTTGCCTTCTCGATTAAAATGCTCCAAAAAAAAAAAAAAACCTGTTTCATATCAGACTAGGAGCCAAGGTAATAAGATGAAAATTTTTGCATATGAAGGAGCTCTGATGGCATAGTGGCTAAGCCATTTGGCTGCTAACCAGAAGCTGCTCTGTGTGAAGAAATGATGTTGTTGTATGCCGTGGAGTCGGACCCGACTCAGAGCGACCCCTCCTTGGGTTTCGGAGGCGGTATCACTACATAAATAGATTGCCTCATTTTCCTTCCCAAGAGTGGCTGGTGGGTTTGAACTGCCAGCCTTCTCCTTAGCAGTCAAGTGCCTTAGGCACTGGGCTAGCACAGCTCCCTGTGAAGAAGATAGGGCAACCTATTTCCTAAAGATTTACAGCTTTGGAATTCCTATGGGGATGGCTATCAGTAAGAATTGATTCATGGCAGTGGGATACATATATATCCCCCCACACACACACACACATATATACATACATATAAAGCTATGAGCCTCTGAGAAATAATTGTCTTAAGGACCCTGACTCAGGTGGCAATACAAGAATATTACAATGGCTTCCTTTTATTGACTCTTTATGTGCCAAGCAAAATACATGAGGTGGGAAATAACCGATAGTAAGTGACAAAGAGCCAGTCAGCAGTAGATTCCTTGTGGCCTCCTTCCATTTTCTAAGCTAGCAAACAAACAACAACAAAAAAAACCTCACTGCCATCAAGTCAGTTAAGACGCATAGTGACCCCCACTGGGTTTCTGAGGCAGTAAATCTTTAAGTAGATTGCCCCATGTACTTTCTGCAGAGTGGGTGATGGATTTGAACCCCCAACCTTCTTGGTTAGCAGTCAAATGCCTTAGGCACAACCAGGTGAATCTTTCTCACATTTGATCACTCTGACACGTACGTAGTTTTCTGCCTCCTAGAAAATCCAGATAATCTCGTTAAAGTCAACTGATTAGCAATGTTAATGTCATCTGCAACCTTAATTCTCCTTTGCCATGTAGCAAAATAGTCATAGATTCTGAGTATTAGGATATAGACATCTTTGGGGGGCCATTTTTCTGCCTACCTTAGAGGGAACAAGAGAAAATGAGTCTGGAAAGGCAAGTAATGGTTAAACCAAGAAGGATTATGTATGTCTTGCTAAGTATTTTAGCCTTTAATTTTATAAACAATATGGTGCCATTGAAGAGTTTTCAGGGAAAGCATAATAGAAATGTTGGTTGGTTGGTATGTACCATCGAGTTGGACCCAACTCATATGCATTTAGAAAGATTGCCCTAGTGAGCTGTATAGAAGAGTGATTAGAGTAGGATATGACTTAAGAAGGGCACTCATTTAGAAGGATAGTATTCACATAATACTGGTGAACATTTCAAGGGCCAGTAGTAAGGAAGAACCAGTAGGGATTGGATAGGAAGGATGAAATGTCTAAAAGATACTTAGGAGTTGAAATTGACAGGATATAGTGATCCACTGATTTGGGTGGGTAAAGTTTCTTGTTTTGTGATTAAAGGTAAATTATGGTTTCATTCACCAAAATGGGGGAAAAGAGGAAGTAGGCCAGGTGAATTTTTTGTTTCATAGTTGTTTTGGGGAAAGTAATATAAGAGAGGCGAGAGGGGAGTTGTGGCCTACTATAATATGCAGTACTCCCTTCTAACTCATAATAGAACCTATGATTTTTAGCTGGGCACATAGCTTCCAGGCATAAAAACAACATTTTCCAGCCTTTCTTGCAGGTACATGTAGCCATGTGAGTACATTTTAATCAATGAAATATAAGCAAGAGTATTGAGTGGTAGCTTCTAGAAAACTTTCTCAAAATACAGCTAGCACACACCCTTTTCTACTTCTACTACTTCTCCTCTTCCTCCTTTTTCTTTTTCTTTTCTTCTTCTTCCTTCGCCTTCTTTGTTACTACCTCTTTCTTGCCGCTTAGAATGTAGATGGGATTTCTGATGCTCCAATAGCTATCTTGGACCTAGAAGCTGAGACCATGCCCTAATGATGAAAGCTGGAGCTAAACCTGAAGGACAATAGATTTCAAAATACTAAGAAACTTCTATCCTAGCCAATGATTGCCTATCACTGGGCTTTTAGATCAGAGAGAAATAACCAGTTGCCATCAAGTCAATTCCAACTCATGATGGTCCAATGTGCATCAGAGCAGAACTGTACTCCATAGTGACTGATTTTCTGAAAGTAGATCATCAGACCTTTTTTCCAGGGTGCCTGTGGGTGGACTTGAACTTCCAACCTTTTGCTCAGCTGCTGATTTAATTAATCATTTGCACTACCCAGAGACTCCAGAGTGAAGTGAGTCTATCTTAATTAAACCTTTCTTTTTTGAATGTACAAAAAAAAAAAAAATCAATGATCTCTACTTTTGTCTTGCAGATGCCTATAGGAACTGCAATTCATTGTCCTGTGTTAAGTGTCATACATTATTTTGTTGAATCCACCCCCACAAGGGTCTTGACAGGTATGTCTTATTACATAATAATACATAGTATGTCAATCTTCCATGTGAAGAAACTGAGACTTTAAGACATTCAGTTGCCCAAGGTATGCCAACTATTTGCTACCTTGCCTTCTATCACACAAAGTGTTTGTGCCCAATATGCCAGGCAAAGCAAATGCAATGCACTAGAAGCAAAACAAGGAACGCTGGTGGTCGTGCAGTGGTTAAACACATGGCTGCTAAGTGAAAAGCTGGAAGTTCAAAGCAGTCAGCAGCTCCACAGGACAAAGATATAGTAGTCTGCTTCTGTAAAGATTCGTTGTTGTTGTTGTTGTTAAGTACAATCGAGTCGGCTCCAACTATGTACAACAGAACAAAATACTGCCCAGTCCTGCACCAACCTCACAATCCGTGTTATACCTGAGCCCATTGTTGCAGCCACTGTGTCACTCAGTCTTGTTGAGGACCTCTTTCTTTTTCACTGACCCTCCACTTCACCAAGCATGACATCCTTCTCCAGGGAATGGTCCCTACTGACAACATAACCAAAGTAGGTGAGATGAAGTCTGGCCATTCTCATTTCCAAGCCTTCTGGCTGCACCTCTCCCAGGACAGATCTGTTAGTTCTCCTGGCAGTCCATGGTACTTTCTGGATTATTTGCCAACATCACAACTCAAAAGCATCAATTCTTCTTCAGTCTTCCTTATTCATGTCCAGCTTTCACATGCATATGAGGCAATTGAAAATACCATGGCTTGGGTTAGGCACACCTTAATTTTCAAAGAGACATCTTTGCTCTTCAGCACTTGAAAGAGGTCTTTTGCAGCAGATTTGCCCAGTACAATACATCATCTGATTTCTTGACTGCTACTTCCATGGGTGTTGATTGTGGAACCAAATAATAAGAAATTTTTGACAACTTCAATCTTTTCTCCTTTTATCATGCTGCTGCTTATTGGTCCAGTTGAGGATTTTCATTTTCTTTATGTTGAGGTATAACCCATACTGCAGACTGTAATCTTTCATCTTCATTAGTAAGTGCTTCAAGTCATCTTCACTTTCAGCAAGCAAGGTTGCATCATCTGCATATTGCAGGTTGTTAACGAGTCTTCCTCCAATCCTGATGCCACGCTCTTCTTCATATAGTCCAGCTTCTTGGATCATTTGCTCAGCATACAGGTTGAATAAGTATGGTGAAAGGATACAACCCTGATGCAATCCCTTCCTGATTTTAAACCATCCAGTATCCCCTTGTTCTGTTCGAATGATAGCCTATGTGCAGGTCTATGAATAGATTTGTCATGAGCACAATTAAGTGTTCTGGAATTCCCATTCTTCTCAATGTTATCCATAATTTGTTATGATCCACACAATTGAATGCTTTTGAAAAGTCAATAAAACACAACTAAACATCTTTCTGGTATTCTTTGTTTTCAGCCAAGATCCTTCTGACATTAGCAATGATATCCCTCATTCCATGTCCTTTTCTGATTCCAGCTTGCATTTCTGGAAGCTCTCTGTCAATATACTGCTGCAACTGTTTTCTGCATTATCTTCA